ACATACTATGGAAAAATCACAGCATCCCCTAAGACCAGAAAAAACTCTTCTCAGGAAACCAAAAACAATACATTCAGATGTTTGTTGTCAGTTCATAATCAATATAGGAATCAAAGTAGCTAATTAAAATTTGAAGATTTTTATTAGTTGAGCTCAGCGACCATCAACATAGACCCGTTTCAGAGTCTAAGTGAGCAGTCCTGACCAGAAGACATGGTGTGTATATAAAGAGGGGAGAAAAGGACAAAAATAAAACACAAAGAAAGGTAAAGAGAATATACAATATATCCTGCTTGTCAAACAGTTAGAATAAAATGTATAGCATGGATCCTGTTTGTCAAACAGTTAGAGCAGCATGCATCCTGCCTATCAAAACAGATTTTTTTTTCTTGCTATACTTCTGGCTACTTTTTTTCCTGTTATTGTTTAGGGTCAGCAGCTTTCTCAGGATATATTTCTTCCGTATGATTACTTATTTCACACATAGGCCTGTTTTTACAACTCTGGTGTCAGCTAAAGTTTATCATGGCAATATTTATGCTAAGAGTCTGGGTTTAAGCCATCAGAATTTTAAAAAAAGAAAAAAAAATCATCACTTAATTAGCCAGAACAGTGAAGACTGTCACCCTAACTATATTAATAAAAAGGATAAGGGAGCCTGCCCCTTAGCTCAGTTCTTTAAGTGGCTGCTTCAACAAAGCAGTCAAGCTCATGTAGCTGTGGTTCGATCCCCACAACTCAAGCCAGCCAAACCTGCCCTGAAGGCATTCGGAGCAAAAAAATAAATAAATACAAATAAAAAGCCTAAGCTTCCTGCCAGCAATCATATGCCTGAGATGAGTCTCACTCTGGATGGTAGAGGAGAGGTCTCCTCTCCTCTGGGGAGGAGAGTGACCAGCAGATCCCATTTCAGAACCCAGAAGGCTAAGGAGGTGGTCATATGTCAAGGAGAAATACATCCATGCACTGTGGTTAACACTCCTGTATTCTGTAAGTCCCAAGCTGATCTCTGGTCTACCTACTCTGGAAGACACACATACTGAAAAACAAATCTATGATGTACTCAAAGCCTATAGTCAATCCTTTTATTCAATCAAACCATGAAAGTATGTCTTTCATAATGCTTAAGAAAGCTAGGTCATGATTCATATTAATTTATTTAGACCTTATAAATATGAACCAACAACCAAGGATCATCAGACATTTTCAGCAAACCTAGTATAATAGAGGGAAAAACAAAAGAGAACCCAAAAAACAATGGCAATTAGCTTGAAAAAAAAGGAGATAAATTAGAAAACATAATAATTTGTCAAAATTCTAAATAGTGTCTTTAGAGATATTCAAAAAGAGAATTTTCAAATAAGCCACAGTTCACTATGAATTCTTATGAAATTTCAGAACATCAATAATAAAGAAAAAAACTTCAAGAACTTTTTGAGCTAAAAGGAAATACATCACCAAAAAACTAAAGTCCCAAAATGAATAAAAAAAGAGAACCAATACAACAGGCTGTCTACAATAAAATAACAAGATTTCCAGTATAAAATCTGACCAGGCACATGCAAGAACAAAGGAGCGTAGGCACTGAGGTATGGTCTCAGCAGAAATTTCCATACTTCTCTCATGGGGGCTCCACAGATTCAAGGAGTCAGGAGTGATGATTTGCAGCAAGGGGAAAAAAAAAAAAAAAAAGAGCAACAAATGACTTAACAGAGAACATAAAACATTTAAATCTTATGTCTGCCCTATAAACAAATGAGGCAGTAGTCTAGAAAAATGGAGGGGAAAGTATGAGAAAGAAAAAGAGATTTAAGGAGAAGATGTTAAGGCTTACACAATACAAATGAATAACGAACACAGAAAAAGAATTCCCTGGGACACAGCTGCATTTCTATTTTTTTTTTTTTCATGATCCCATTTGGTTCAAAAATTAATATTTACAAAATCAAAAAGCTGTAAATGCTGCATTTACGAAGTTTGACATTTGGGAATCATTAGTGTGACGACAAAGTATGAATATATTTTATTTCTCAGTTTCTCTGTAGTGATTAATACTGAAGGAATTGCTTTTAAAATTGATGTCTTCATGAAGGGTATCATTATGATCATGATGATGATTAAGATATTCTAAGATGTTCCACTGTAAACTGATAAAGTAGTACCTTGTGAAAAGAAAGGTAGAACCAGATTTATCAAAACCCATGTTGCTTACCTTGAGGCACAAAAAAGAGGAAAAGGGAGTGACAAACTCTTTAATTTCTACTTAAGAAATTCAAGTCAGCATACCTATTACAGGCTCAGCATTACAATCTACCCTGCCTTACCTAGCAGCCTCTGCAAAAGTTTTATAATTTTACTGCTCTTTCCTCCCTTTCCTATATTAAATAATTTAGGGTATTGTATTTATAGTATGCATATATCTACTAAAGATTAGCCCAACAGAAAAGAATTTCCAAGATTGTCTCCACTGAGAAACAGGAAAGCACAAAAAATATTAATTTAAAGAATTATGTTATTATTTCCATTACTGTTACTCTATTTCAACATACCATTATATTACAATTATCTCCTAGTTGGAAGATTGCTTAAAAATCTGGCAAAGGCTTTGTTTCCATCACACATTGAAAAAAATGTTAACGTCCTCTCTCCCCATTCTATTAGTTTCTAAATTGGTGGTGGCAAACCTATGGTATGTATGCTACAGCCTGTGTAGATCCTTGAAAGCTCTAAAAGGTTTGCTATCACTGACCTAAGGGATGTGGGCCAATGCTATTACTAGTCACATGACAGACTTACTGGTTACCCCTGCTAAATTCACTGCCACCTAGGACTTCCGTTGTGTTCCTACTACAACCTAAAAAGCTTTCTTTAGATGCTAGTATAGCCCGCTTCCTTCTGAGAGAGGCTGTTATGGTGTCCCCTAAACAGCCTTTGTCACAGTTGGGGCTTTTCAGAGGTAGCTGGGATTAAGCATGTGATGCTGGGATCAAGGGTACTAAATTTGTCCACTGACTAGTATAGTTCTAGGTATGGATAATGGACAGACCCAACCTGGGTGTGGCTTGGATAAGTATAGGGACAGGAAGAGGGCTGCTGTTCTTGCTTGCTATTTCCCCACTACTTACTGCCTTCTTCGTGCCATGAACTGTTTCTCCTCTATGATGCCCCTCTGCCATGCCACCCTGCCTTAGAGCCAGCCAACTATGAATTAAAACTTCTACAAATTGTGAGCTACGTAAATCTCTCCTCCTATAACTTTGGGTATTGGGTATTTTGTTTCAGCAGCAAGAAAATTAACAAAGATAGAGGTCTCATTTGGCCTGCTATAGAGATTCCTTTCTGCTGTTATTCTTTAATCACTTACCCTGTTTTGGTTTTCTTTAGATATCATGTATCTCACTTCATTTGTTTATATCTCTACTAAAATATAAAATGTAAGGTTCTAGGGGAAAATATCTTTGTCTGGCCCATGTCTCCCACTGGCTACAATGCCTGGCATGTAGTAGGTGCTGAGTACCTAACAATACTTTGCCAAGTAAAATATAAATAGGAAAACAGGAAACAAACATATAACCCCTGTTACAGAAACTGATCTAAGTTTGAAAAATATCTTACAGTTCTTTTGAACCAGTGTTTAATAGCTCGCCAGTATGTCTTCCTGGGAAATGACTGTCATTGTTCTTGGCTAATTAAGCCCTACAAAGCCCATAATGCTTTTTTGCTCAACAAGCTACTTATGCTCAAATATCAGGTTGGTGCAAGCCAACCTGATTTCTCCTAATCTGTCCCTACTTCCTGGAAGTCACTGTTTCTGTGCTATTCTTTGTGCTTCAGTAATGGCAAACCACATTTTACACTTTAATTTTTTGGATTATCTATGACCACTGATTTTGTACTTATATTCACCACACTAGAATATCTATAATTCTGGTAAATGAATGTATATTATAGCTATACAGGATTTCAAGGGAATTAGTTTCAAATTTCAAGAGGAAAAAACTCTTGGTTATGTTCTATAGGGGCTAGGACTGTTTCTGCTTTATTATCGGCTATTCACAGCTACTTACATAGGGAGTGATATTTATTTTTTCTGAAGGATTTTTTTATTGTAAAACAAATTGATTAGTGCAATCCTATGGACCAATGTGGAGTGGTATACTGTACACATTCACTAAATGTTTCCTGAATAAACGAAGAGTAGAGTTAGAAAGGAAAAATAAGCTGCCTAAAAATAGATAATTACTACCAACTAGAATATAATCATTAATTTTCAGAACTAAGAATGCAGTTTATATATAAAAATGTAACCAAGAAACTTACACTATTATAGTTTGTGTCTAGCTGTGCCCCTGAAAGACTCATGCAGTCATGGGGCTACTTCTGGAGTTTGTGATTAATTATTGTGTGGGTGTAATTACCTGCCCTAAGGCAGATTGTATTAGAGTGTAAGGAGGGGACAAAGGCTAGCTAACTGCTTGAGCTGCTTTCACTCCCCTTTACTCTAGGCTCTTTGTCCCTGCCATGAACAGTAGCAGTCTGCCATGTACTGCTTTGCCTTGGAGCCAGCTGAGTATGGACTGAAACCTCCAGTAACAGCTAAACAAACCTTTCCTTCCTTTATTTTGGGTATCAGGTATTTGTCCCAGCAATCAGAGAAGAATAACTGAGACAATCACAAATGTATAATGAAGTAAATGTCTACAGAGGCTGGAAAGTTATCTTCAAATATGATGTACAAACAAAACTACTAAGTGTTCTAACTAAAGACACATTTAACTTACAGGAGATGAAATCTTCCTTGCAGTTTCCGTAATTACTTGTTGTAGAGGTTTCCAGATCTGAAAAGCATAGCGACCTAAAGAGTAAAAGAAATAAATGTAACTATGGTTTCTATAATCAATGTCAATCAATATCTTTGAGGTACTTACCATATCATTTAATGGCTTTTTATATATATTTCAATAAGTATTTCAAAATTTACTAAAAAGTCACAGTTTCCCAAATTTCTAAATCACTGAATAGGGCAGAATATTTTAGTAGCCATTAAATTTATCAAGTTGTAGTTCATGATCATAAAACTAGAAATTTTCAGTGTTTACATATCTATGAGAGGGTAAAAAAAAATTCCAGCACTCTGTTGAAAATTAACTGTACATAGAAAGTCCTTTTATGTACAAAAGATATTCATATTAAGATGACTAACTGTATGGCTTTTTACAAAGATATATATGATACAGAAGTGTTTTTAATGGAATTACTTCTAAAGTCAAAAGCAATTATGTATGGATTATGCTAATTACCAATTTCTCATTGATAATAACTACTCTCTGTAAACTTACCTTGACTAGGCACCCTAGTATTTCAAATTCTTACAAGTCTCTACAATAAAGAATCTATAGTAAAACAAGGCCTAAATTATTTTTAATAAACAACTGAACATACAATTGACTAAAAGATAAAATACAATCTGGCTAATGTACCTTTTGTACCCTAGTCAGAATGTGTACCTTCTGCTAATGTCTTTCTCTGAAAGTCTGACTGCAAAACTCTTTATAACATTAGAGATTTAAATTCTAATTCTAATCCTAAATTTATTTACAAATCAACAGTTCTACTGGGAGAGCTCAACTACTCAGATCTTTCAAAAGACTTTATCATTTGATTCCATAATGGTATAAAATGTAGCTTTTAAGATATTTCAAAATTATGCAAAACCACAATCAGACATAATGACTGAATTTCTACCTCAGTGAATGAGGAAAATAAAAGCTTCAAGAAGTAATATCTATCTGAAGGTTTACTTTAATCTATGACCTAGAAGATCTAGTCCTCCAAACTGAAATGTACTTTTTCTGAATTGCATTTTTCTAGGGTACATTAGTTTAATAACAGTATGGTCTGCACAGATTACACACATCAAGTCTTGTCATTTTTTGAAAGATCTGGAATAAGTACATCATCTTTAATTTAAAATGAAAATCTTACATTTGTTAATAACTGTACATGTTCTATTATAATAATTAACAGTAATGTTTTATGTTTATGAGCAAGTTTGTCAAAATTCCTTTTGAGACATTCTTCTCATCAAACTTCAGCATTCATTAACTACAGTTATATAATAGGCCCCATTGGCAAAATGATCAAAAAGCTCTAAATCCCTAATCTTCTTGATTTTAAAGATCTAATTCTTAAAGTATTTAAATGAAAGGTAGAGAATTATACATTCTACAAAACAAAATAAGACCATATTTTATTGAAAACCAACTCCACATAACCACAATGAAATATAGATTCCCCTAAAAAATCCAATTAACAAGATCAAATCCATACAATTCAGAAAAAAAAAAGTAATTATCAAGAGGAAACATTCTCAAATTAACATTTAACTAGGGAATAGTTATACAATTTCAAAATATAATGATTAAATTAAAACTTTTATTTTTACTATGTATAGCTATTTTTTAAAGACAATTCTGACAGTGAAAAATTCTCCTGGGTTCATCCAATAAATTATGCTGGTAAAAGATGAAATACTAAAGTAGTGAATAACTATGTACATTAGATACAAATGATAATTTGACACACATAAACCTATCTACAAGAAAAAATGAATATGGAGCATAAAGGAACTCCTATCACTTAGATTGCATCATATTAAAGATTTCTTATTGTACCTTAGAGCTCAAATTAAAGAAAACATTGCTAGCATTATCAACTATTACTGGGTTTGTTGTCCTAGCTTATTCATTAATTTTTTTCACTATAAAACTATTGAGATTTTGCTTCATTGACTAATGTCCAATAATTATAAATGTAAAAAGAATGAATATATAAATGTCTGAAAATCGAAAACTTCTCAATAGAAGTCTACTCATGAATCTTTACAGAGGCTTGGAACTTTCTCCTGCATATATATTGATATATCTTCCCTATTTATCTTACCTGCAAATCCAAGAGCTGCAACTCCCAGTCCTACGGCTATTAAATTTCTTGCCTATGAAGGAAAAAATATTATCACTTACAGTGATACATATAAGGTTTAGTAAATCATTTTTTGACAATGTAATAATTACATTAAATGTGACATTTTCTTCAAACTCCACAGGATGAGGAGAACTTTTAGCGCAACTGATTTTTTTTTTTCTGTATTTTAGGGAAGGGTCTACAGGGTGTTCAGGGTCTCATTACTAGATCAGACTTAGGGATTCTCCTGTTCCCAGCATCCCAAGTGCTGAGATTATAGGCACATGCCACCACACCCAATCTCAATTGCCATCTCAGCCCACCCCAGGGGCAGGACTGGCGCCTCAGGCCTGGGAATCAAACCGCCGGCCCTTATACCTACTTGCAGGTGCTTTAATCCACTGAGCTATTTGGCCGGCCCTAGCAACTGATCTTCAGTGAACAAAAAACACTCTAAATTTTTATTTAATACCTGTATATTTGAATTTGCCCTAACCAAGACCTTTTACATTACCTATTGCTAAACTCTTTGGAGCCAGGTGTGATGTTACACACCTATATGCTAGCTTTGAGGAGGATAATTGCTGTGAGTCTGAGGCCAGCCTGGGCTATATAGTGAGTTTAAGGCCAGCCTGGAATACAGTGAGATTTCTGTCTCAAAAATGAAAAAAATATATTAAATAATAAAATGTTTTTAAAATTTCTAATTTGGAAGGCTGAACAAATAGCTCAGCAGATTAAAGCACCTCCTTAGGCAGACTCAGGGGCTGGGGGTTCCGGGTTTGCCCAGCCAACCCCGGTCCTGACCCCGGGGCACTCCTGAGACCAGGATTGAGACTGGGTGTGATGGCGTGCGTGCCTGTAATCCCAGCTAGTGGGAGGCTGAACACAGGTGGATGTCCGATCTACATAGTGAGACCCTGTAGACCCCATACTAAAATACAAAAAAAAAAAAAAAAAGAATTCTAATATGGAAAAAAATAAAATGCTTTCTATAGATTTTATTTTATTTATTTATTTATTTATTTTTTTGGCGGAACCAGGGATTGAACTCAGCCCTTGCACTTGCCAGGGAAGCGCTTATTCCACTGAGCCATCTCCCCGGCCCCTATAGATTTTAATAGTGTATCTATCATAAAGATAAAAGGAACATATTTTCTCAGTATTTTATATTTACAAAGCTGAACTGCATTTGCCATAATTGAAATTTTAATAAAACTTTAAATGTATCTTTAGGAAAGAAGAACTTTGAAAAAAATTAGTAAAAATTATAAATTATTTAATCTTGTACCCGTTTAGATCACATTTTAAAAAAAAAGAGCCAAAAATTCAGAATCGGGCCGGGAAGATAGCTCAGTAGAATAAGTGCCTGCCTGGCAAGCACTGGGTCCTGAGTTCAATCCCTAGTACTGCAAAAAAAGAAAAATAAATAATAATAGTAATAATAATAATAATTCAGAATGTCAGAACTTTAAGGTTATAAGCCACTTCTAAAAAGTACATTTAAAAATGGTTATATACTCAAAGCTTCTCCTTAAGCATTTCAGGAAAATATTCTACTTACAATAGAAAATGATTTATGTAGTAAAGATCAATCACTGTCCTTCATTCTTTTTCTTCTATCGGGTCAGAACTTTTTAATTTATCCAGGTATTGCATTTTTACCCAGACATGTATTCTAAGCCTCCTTTAGGTTTTTCCCCTTTTGCTGGTGTTAGTAAAATCACATATGGCTCTCCACCACTAAGCTACATTGCTATCATTTTTTATGTTTTGAGAAAAGATAATGCTAAGTTGCCCAGATGGACTTGAATTTGCAATCCTTATGTGCTTTTTTGTTTGTTTGTTTTTCTGTTTAAACAACTATATAAGTAAGTATTGGCCCATGGGACATAAGCAGAGAGGTATGTGCAACTCTTAGGTCCTGAGAAAGAGAGAGAGGGAGGGAATGTCTTTATTTTCCATTTACATTTCTGCTGGCTGAAGCAGGTCATAGGACAAAGAACATGAAAGTCAATTTTATTTTATGTATTTATTTTGGTGGTACTAGGGATCAAACTCAGGACTTGGTGCTTATCAGGCAAGCACTTATTCCACTGAACTATCTCCCTAGTTCCCTTGGACAAAGAACATGAGATGAAAGGCGATTTCGTCCTCCCCACCCTACCCACATCATGGAATTGTCTTAGTAATCCTGGACACTTTCTAGGTATATGAAGTAAAATAAGTTTTATCTTTCTGAGCTACTATATTTTCAGTTTTTAGGCACCTGCAACTCAAACAAATTCTGATGGATACAAAATTAAGTGAAACTACAAAAGCATTTTTGTCTGATTTGTGGTGAAAGAAATTGATGAAATTCACCAAAGATTTTTTTAAAAGCTACTATAAACCCCACTAGAGAACAGAATGGGTGTATTTCACATTGGTATAGATTCCTTAACAAGAAAGCTGACTCAAAGGGATGTTAAAATCAAAAGGCCCTTCAGCTGTCTGCATTCTAGTTCTGTAAGGAAATACAGACCTAGTCTTAGGAAATCAAAGCTTAAGCCTTCAAGGATGATTCTATAATGAGAAACATCAGGTCAGAAAGGGCAGCTCCTGGAACATATCTTGACAATGGCATCTAGTATTTCTGAGAAATCCGGAGCTCTTCATGCACAGACAAGGGAAGTCTAACAACAGCTGTGTAACCCTCGCAAGCATTTCTTACGCCTTTCCCTTGCCCTTCTGCAAGGTTATTTCACCTGTTTTGTTTTGTTTTGTTGGTTTGTTTTTGGCAAAGCTGTGCTTTTGTTTGCTTTGGTGCTGGAGATTCACTGACCTCAGTCCTTGTTATTTAGTGACAGAATCTCACTAAATTATTCTGGTTGGCCTCACAATCTCGCCCTTGGGAGTACTGGAGATAACAGGCCTGTGCTAGCATACCTGGTTGCAACATGTTTTGAAGCATGTCTTAGAAAATGAACTGGTGTTCCCCATGTCAAACTCTCCAACTTTTTACATGTTAAAAAAAGATACTTTAAAACACCTAATTTCAGGGCTGGTGAGATGGCTCAGTGGTCTAAAGCACCTACTTAGAACAAGCTTAGCAAAGCACAGGGACCGCAGTTCAATCCCCCAGCACCACATGCCAGCCAGCCCCGCCCCCTGGTGGGCTGAGCTGCCCCCCCACATAAATAAATAAATAAATTAAAAAAAAAAAATAAAACACCTAATTTCAAACTTTTATACAATAATTTTGCTTCATTTTACTAATTTAGCTATTCAAAATACACAAGAGAAATAGTAGTCTCATAAATGCTATAATTCCAAAAAGATTTTATTTCAAGAACTACAGCTATTTATATAGGAAAACATTAAATCACTTGGCATTTGCTCATTTTTTTGACTTCACTAATATGTAAAACTAAGTTGTTTAATAAGAAACACTGAACTTAAAACAAATATTGAGCACTCACTGATTGCTCCCTATTTGTCTCCATTGGTCCTTTCTTCAGTTTGCTTAGCTTTGTGGTTCTGCCTCCTCTTCTAAGGACACTATCTAGTACTTGCTCTCTATGTTCTGCAGCAAGAGAAAGCATCAGCAAAATTCTGAAGGGTGAGGAAAGAGACAATCACAGCTTAGGCCCTCATCTCTTTTCTGCCTTGCTTCCACCAAGGTATCAGATCTTGTGTGCTGGGTCACTTTCTCCATGCCTAAAATTCTGAGTTCTGAAACGCAATTCCTATTTTTGCCCCTTGACCTGAATGGATAAACAGTTCTCAATACTTGCTGGGTCTTAAGTGATCCATTGTCCTTTTTTTGTTATGGACCATGCCTACATCTCTGCAAACAGTCACTTCTTGAAACTTCAAAACAACTATCCTATTATTATATAAGGACCTTCACTGACATAAATATCACTACATACCAATCACTACAAGAGATGGTTAACTACGCTCATCTTCCAAAGATATTTATTTTTATCCTTATGATAATATATTTTATCCTTACTAGAATACTACTAAATTATAGTTAGGAGTATTGTCTCCCTTACCTTTTCTAGATATAAAAGGTCTTAAAAAATTGTTTTTAATGTATTTTTAGTACAGGTTCTATAGGGTCTCACTACACAGATAGAACTTATAGTGATCTTCCTGTTTTTAGTCTCCCAAGCACTGGGATTACAGGCCCACACCAGTCTCATTTGCTGTCTCAATGCATCCCAGGAGTGGGGTTGACACAGCACACCAGGGATCAAACCCTGGTCCCTGTGTCTGCCTAAGCAGGCACTTTAGTCCACTGAGCTATCTGGCCAGCCCAGTCTTAAAAATTTAAGGAAATATATAAATCATCATCCTAGAAAAACACAAATATACATATATCACATATTTTGTATATAATTTGAGGAGATTCATGTGTTCTCCTGAAATGCTTAAGTCCACAAGCTTCCACATAAGAACCCCTATGCAGGGGGGAAAGGAGAACTCAATAAAGTCAAGGAAGGCATCTCATCTTAAAGAGTACCTACAGCACATCAGGAGACCTGTCATATGTATTTCACTTTTCATTTAGTAAGGAAAATAAAGTTAATTAATAAAATTAATAGAATTAACCTGTTTCTAAGGAATAACTTTATAGAGAGGAAAACTAAAGGCCTTGAAACTTTAAAAATAATAAAACAGACCCAAATTAGGTAGATCACTGGAGTAGCTAAAGATGTTCAATAAATGACCCAAACTATGGAACCAAATGTTATCATACTAAAAGAACAAAGTATAATATAGCTAATCCAGAACCATTTTCTATATTGGAATTAAAATTCTTTGAGGGGCTGGTGAGATGGCTCAGTGGTCTAAAGCACCTACTTAGAACAAGCTTAGCAAAACACAGGGACCACGGTTCAATCCCCCAGCACCACATGCCAGCCAGCCCCGCCCCCTGGTGGGCTGAGCTGGCCACACACACACACACACACACACACACAAATAAATAAAATTAAAAAAAAAGAAATATCTTTAAAAAAAAAACTACAATTTCCCTCAAAA